GAAGCTTCGTTAAGGATGCTGAGGTTCTCGGCTACGCAAAAGGGACAGCCTCTGGCACGGCCCCTGGAGCTCACTTGGCAGTTTACAAGGTTTTGCATGACGATGGAAAAGGTAAAGCAACAGGCTTTAATAGTGACATATTAGCTGGAATAGACAGAGCCATCGCCGACGATGTAGACGTGCTCTCTATGTCTCTTGGCTCGCTCGGCACCCCAATCTATGAGAGCCCTGTGGCGATTGGCTCTTTCGCAGCGGACGGGCCTGCCCAAAAGCCTCCTATTTCGAATTGATGCTCCTATGGATCATGACAGTAAGAGCAAGCACAACGGGCAGGGAAGTAATGGCCAGCTGTCAGGCTGGAACTCCCTGGAGAATCTACGTTCCAGCCTGCCGCCCTTAACAACACACAGCTGCCCCTGGCGTATCCACTTGATAGTCTCAAAACATATGATGCCTCTGCTTGCAATATGGACTTGAGGCGGTTTAACGTCCGAGGAAAAATTGTGATGTGCACTAATTCAATTATCGATGATACTAGCAGGGGATATATAGTCAAGAATTCAGGAGGAGCTGCTATGATAGTAATGAATGGGTTTAATAGTGGAGACTGGACGATTCCCCATTCTCATGTCATTCCTGCCACAAACGTTGGAAATAGGGCGGCAAGAAAGATAGAGACGTATTACAAAAGTACAACAAATCCTACAGCGGCAATTGTTTTCAAAGGCACGCAGTATGGAGTTAGTCCATATCCAGCCGTCGCCACCTTCTCTTCAAGGGGTCCGAGCTTAGCAAATGGAGGTGTCATCAAGCCCGATGTCATCGCACCAGGTGTCAATATTGTAGCAGCTTGGCCATGGGACATTAGTCCTACTCCTACCGGTAAAGCTGCTACATTCAATTTTGAGAGTGGAACCTCAATGGCCACTCCTCATGTCTCTGGCATTGTCGCACTTCTTCAAAAGGCTCTACCATACTTGTCACCAGCTGGAATAAAATCAGCATTGATGACCACTGCTTACACATTAGATCACGATGGAAACCTCATTACAGATCAATATGATTCTAACTACAATGGCCCGGCTAGCGTCTATGCTAGGGGGTCAGGGCACGTTGATCCATTAGCTGCCGTCAATCCGGGACTCATTTATGAACTGTATTCTTACAACTACGTACATTACCTTTGTGGTGCAGGATTTGCTGATTGGCAAATCACAGCTATTGCTCGTGGCTCGGTCCAGTGTGCTCAAGTACTTGCAGTTGCTCCAGAAAATTTGAACTATCCTTCGTTCATAGCCAAACTTGGATATTCCACTCCGGCAGTAACTGTGACCCGAACAGTAACGAATTTGGGTGACCCTGGTTCAGCTTACACAGTTGGAGGTGATGAACCAGTAGGAGTAAATGTATATGTTAATCCCACTAGACTTCAGTTTTCACAGAGAGGTGAGAAGCAAAGTTTTCAAGTGACATTTCGCCTCAAGGGTGCACCATTGAGTGCAGGTCAGGTATCACAGGGACAGTTGTACTGGGACTCAGGTAAGTATCTGGTGAGGAGCCCCATTGCTATTACATTTGTCTGATATTGTACCGATAGTACGTGTTACAAAGCAGAACTGATCTGCTTCCATGTCCTTCTCACTATGTATCAGTTGTATATTCCCATAATGAGTTGTAATGAGAGTTGTATCAAAATCAAATTACTATCGTAAGAGACACGCACACATCTATGTATAGTATCATATTAGGTTTTTTCGACATTTTTATGTCCATGTATCCATACTTTCAATGCCCATATCCCATGTAGTGTCTGTGAAACGTAGTCCATTTGCATCTCCATCTAAGTTAGCCTACCTATTGCCCAATAGCAAATCTCCTTTCGGTAGGAAACATCTCAAAGTGAGCGAGACAAATACAGATTTTAGAGGGGTTCAGAGAAGTGTCCATGTTACCATTAATTGGATAGGAAGGGTTAAAAATACTGCTCGAGGCTTCCCAAAAAGAATTAGAAACTGATGTCTACTAAACATTATATCATAAGCAAACACGGATTCATATATTCCATTGCACCTTTAACAAGATAATTACAAAAAGGTTGCTAATAGGATCATTACTTCATGTTGAAAAAGGAGCTTAATTAAATCACTCATACAGTGCTTTGTAGTAAAGATTGCATGTTCAAGCAAGCTTCGACATGTAACAAAAATGATTATCTATAGCTGAACTATCCATCTTAGTAACTAAAATATTCATTGCAGATAGCTAATGCATATGCATTACTCCATATTCCCCTATTCATTTGGTTCGGGTAAAGAGACGTTCATAACCAAAAGATTGCATATTTGATAAGTCAGGCCAAACATATCTTCAGCATGCAATTTCTTGTTTCCCTAAGCACAGGTAAAATTACATCATGCCTCCTTTGTTTATTGATCATGTAACTAAGATTCTTCATATGCCTGCGTGTGAGAACGAGAGAGGAAACACTATATCGTATATATATATATATATATATATATATATATATATATATATATATATATGATATAGTTAGAACTTATGTCAACTTAAGTGCGACACCAAGTTCTTTGCTCAGCAAAAGTTTCTATCCCACTCACTTTATATATACTAAAAAGTTCCCCTCATATCATGCAAATTGATCCACTACAACATAGACGTGCAGGACTAGAAAAACTTTTGGTGACCCATCCCCTTAAGTTGCACAGTAAGTCTCTCTCTTCTCTCTGCTCGCTCTCGGACTCTCTCTCTCTCTCATCCATCATCTTCTCTCTCTCTCTCTCTATATAATATAATAATATATATATATATTTATATAATATATATAAAATATAAGTATATTATATAGGCGGGGATTGGGGGAATACCCATTGTGATGTGTGTAGTGATGTCCTAGATGTTGGATTTTTATTGGACTCGTCTACTATTGCCTAGGTTGCATTAATAATCCAAAGAGAATCCGAGACATATAACAGCTCACATGTCCTTTTGTGTTCTTATCTCCAGTTGTTAGAGTTCATTGGATTCGGCTATTATTTTCCATGTTGTATTAATAATCCCAAAGCATCCCAAGTGCTTGTTTCTCTTTTTTTCCCCTGAGAGAATAGAATCCAAAGCATTTCTCCAATAATCATTCCATAGCTGACTTCTATGGTATTGTAACCACTAGCGTCCTCAGTGCCTCTTAACTTGTAGTCCTTTTATGTACACTGTTCTGAATCTTTTACCTTATAATTGTTCTTATTCTAATGCATGTTTCTTTTGATGGATATGACACATAATTAACTATCGAAATATAACTTCTCTGAGGTCTCGTTTTACCTCTTTTTCTTCTGATTTTGTGTTGTGAGTACGTGTCTTGCATTCAATACCTGTCAATAGGTGGAACAAAAGAACAAAATAAGGACATACTAACTATTCCAAATTAAGAATCATATTAGAAAGGTATAGGGGGTTACTCCCAACCAAGTAAGGATAATCTAAATTTCTGATTCACTGTTTAAAGATGACTATAGGAAACTTTTAGTTAAAGGAGGTGACAACTCAAGATGTCAAAGGCTTAAGGGCCTTTTGCTACAAAGCCATGGCTGAGAAATTCCATCTAGGAAACCTCGACGGGTAAACAAGAAATGAAGATTGTGTTGATGGAACAAGGTTTTTACAAGGTTTAGAAGGAAATTCGTAAAACCTTAAGAAATAGCAATGATGGGAATTGAGAGGAGATAGTAATAATAACAGTTGGTTAATTCATTTTTTGTGGGCTGATAAGATTATCCATAACAATCGTTGCGTGATTCCCCAGACCCCCACTTCGAACCATCGTTCAGTTCCTGTGAACCGATTTCTAATACATTTGCTAACCTATTCCCTCCGATACACAAAGCGGTTCCCCAAAATTAACGTACCACTTACAAGTGTGCTAGATGCAAAGTCTCCTTGAGTGTACATGCGCAAGACGCAATACAATGTATGCAATTAACTGAAGGGAGACACACAATAGAGTATATGAGCCGATGACTTTAATAAAACTAAACATATATGTTAACTAAATGTAAAACGAAGCCATGATCCTAAAACGAGCTCTGTGGAAAAAAAAAAGAACAAAGAAACAAACTCCAAGTATTTTGTATGAAAAAAATATTAAAATTCATAATTAGCTTTCTAGTTTTCTACTATATACTTTAGAAAACTTTAAGCACACTCGAAAAAAATTTGCAACGTACCACTAACCGAATTTGCATACCAAAGCAAGCTACCCCTTAATGAATCCAAATTTCCTAAGTGGCGAATTGCGTACCTAAATTCATACTGTGACCCGCTATGTACCGCATACTGTGTAACTATGTGCATAACATTATGGTCAAGGAGTTGCTTGCAGATTTATGGTCAAAACTAGCAAAGTGACATGATAGAACCAATTAGGAGCATTGTACACCTAAATAAGAAAATATGTGAGCTCCAGAGGGTACAAGGTGGTGTTCTTCAACAAAGTTATCAACAAACTCTTCAATGTCTTCAACAAAGAAGATAGTGCTTGATACTTCATCATCTAGTTTATGAACATCCCTTAGGGAAGGAGATCCTCATAGGCTCATAGTTCATCAAAGAAATTGGTAGTTTTATTTGGCGTGACAAATAAGATTATTTCTGGGAGAATAATTTTTGACAAGATTCATATGGTGTCAAAACTAAACAAAAAGTATAGAATACTCTAATAAAGATTATCAATACAAGGAATTGCAGTAATTTTGTGTAGTCTCTTACATTGTCATTAACAAATCATAGTTCATGGAATCATCAATCATTGTGGCGCCATTTCTACAAAAATGAAAGTAACCCCAAAATAATAATTCACATTAACATTGTATTACAAGAGTTTCACAATAAGACAGGGCTTTTTGTGCAATTTATCCTATAAATAATTATCTTTGTATATAATTTTGTCGTATTCCTATTATATCATACCCATGGCCATATCCCACCTGTATCCCAAATTCATTTCGTTGGTTAGCAGGCTAGTACTCGCCATATTTCATTAAGCACATCCAAACTTTGAATGGAAGCAATTGGATTAAAGATAATAGAATCTGTTTACAATGGTGAAAGGAGTTTCCACAAATGGAAACCAGTTTGGTCTTACTAGATTGTGAGCCTGCTGATTATAGGTTTGAAGACTAAATCATAAAATATGCAAATTTCTAGCAGAATGTTTTCTTATATAAAACCACACATCATTTTACCAAAAACATCTGTTCATAAATAAATTTGTCTAGAGAAAGATTAACAAGAAAAGAAATACTAAAGATTTACTAGAGACCTACTAATTATGAAACCGTTGATCTGGTTCCGTGAAGCTAAACCATGATCCTGTTCCATAATGCCCCCTCTTTTGTTTGCTAAGGTCTGGATTCTGATCTTGAATTGCATCAAACACCTGTATATCACCGTAAACAATGGCATGAAAATTTTCTAACCTAAAACAAAAGGGAATAAAAAAAAATTAAGGGGGATGTATGCACCAAAATGTACAGGATTTACCTTCATCGGTAGTCACCTCCAGCAAGTAAGCCTCTCTAATCGGCGTCAGTAAACTCAATGATTTAGTCATACTTCCCAAACTGCAATTAAGAAACTCCAGTTCAGCATATGAAAAAGAAAAAGGCTTGTCAACAAGTAAATGATTGAGATAATTAAGTGAATGTGGTAACACCTCCTATGCGAAAAGAACAATGCAAGAGATGACATTCTATGAGAGATGCACCCACAAAGAGGCAACGAAAATACATAATAAATTATTAAGAACCGGAGAATTGTTTAGAACCTATTGGTACTGCCTCATATAAAGAAACCGTATAGATTTGTATATTGAGGTTCGATTTAAGGAAGTAAACCAGGCCATTGGTTACAAATCAAGGTCAGACTATCAACAGTTGGAATGCTTTAGGTATTGTTTTTGCATACATATGACTAATGATAAAAGCAATTTGGTTGTGTGTTTCCCTAACATGAACTGGGGGGAATACTCCACTAAGCGTAACTTTTTGACCAGTTTTCCATTCACACGTTTTTAAGTTTACATTCAAGAACAAGCTCGTTTATACCCCAAACCCAAGCCCTCTTTGTCTCCAAGGGTAAAATGCCATGCTAGACAAGTTTAAAGTCTAACAGGCCCCTAAACTTTGCACAACTTTTTTATAAAGCCCTTAAACTTTTGTTTAAATGAATTAAGCCCCTACGCTTTACCAAACTTTTCTATGAAGACCTCAAACTCTTATTTCAATCTATTTAGGCCCTAGAGTTTTTGCTTTCATCCTATTTAGCCCTGATAGTGGTTTTAAACCTCAAACACCACCCGAATACATGTTTCAGTTAGGGTATAATTGGAATATCGTAAAAAAGAATGACAGGACAACATGTTTCAGTTAGGGTATAATTGGAATATCGTAAAGAAGAATGACAGGACAAAGTCTTACAATTTGAGCATTGATCTACCTGCTATTTGTTTATAGTTTAAATTTTTTTACTACCCAGTATGCAAGTTTTGTAGTGTACATATAATAAAAAAAATCAAATCTTTGTGATGTAATTATAATCAAGATATAAGGATGTAGTAAAAAATATTGATTGAAATAACAAACAGCGTGCCATTGAATTATAATGGAGTTTTTTTCTTTAGCCAAACATTGAGGAGGGGACTATTTTTTTCCCCTTTAACTAACCTAAAAATATTTTTAGTTATATGAAATTAGGGGTTTTTGTTTATTAACCCAAAGTTTTACTTTGACTTATTTTTAAACTCATCTACTTTCAAAATCGCTCATACACCCAATAGATCTCCACCCACTTATTTTTAAACCCATCTACTTTCAAAATCGCTCATACACCCAATAGATCTCCACCCACTTATTTTTAAACCCAAGTACCATATTTTAGTGTTTATGTATACATTATCCCTTTAAAGAGTTACAACTTCTCAAAAATACCCTTCTTTGATCTCAAAACAACCAGCTCCATGGCTGCTCGCAAGCAATCTCTTTGCTTCGTCACTCAACTAAACGAATCCATATTCTCTCTCTGCTAGGATCACCGCTGTTGCTGCCAACACCGACTCGTTACTTTGTCTTTGAAAATTTGTCCCCCATTCACTCCTCTTCTTGCTCCCTATTTGATCCACTTGTTTCTGGTTACTTCTTGGTCCATCGTGTGATTAAGTATGGTTCTTGGCGATCGATTTTTGCATTCAGTTAAGAAAATCTTATTATCCTTTGTGCATAACAATTTTGCTTATATATATCTAAGTTTTGGTGACAAGGTTGATGTATGAAAGGTGTTTGATGGAATGACAAGAGCAATATAGTTATTTGGACCACAATGATTAGCAGTGTCGGGGTTGGTTGAGGAGGCAATGGAGGTGTTTGATGAAATGTCCAAGAGAAGTTCGATTTTGTGGAATGTGATGATTGAGGATTATGTGCATATAGAATATTTGAGAGGGTCGATAGAATTGTATTCTGATTGTACATACTATATATCTTTGTGAGGTATTGATATATGGTGATTTAGTTAGAGTTTCATTTTTAATTTCTTGAACAAATGGTTGATGCTATTGTTATTTTTAGAGCTTTGTGCACCAAGGTACGCACGGGTTATCATGTACATATGTTGGTTTCATCAACAAAAATACTTGCTTACTGACATGTGCAAAACTTACACCTAATGTGCGATGATTGTATTTTATTTATACATCTTCATTGTTAGTCAAAAAGGGAGGGCTCAACTTTCAAGCACCAAAAGCATTCGGTGCAATGAAAAGTCCAACTTTCTTGTCACCGAATGCCCTTGGTGTAATGAATGACAAAAAGAAGAAAAACTTTGTTGAAAAGAAGGAAATCTTTGTTGAAAAAGCTTGTCAAACCCAACAACCCAAAAATTGAGTGAGGCTTCTGTATAAAGTACTCTTGTGTGTGCTTTTGAAGGAATCAGAAGTGAGAGAGGAAGTGTGAAGTGTGAAGTGTGAGTGAAAAGAAAGGCTCAGATAAAGGCCTTAGTGAGAGAAAATTGAGAGCAATTTTCAGAGTGATTTTGGGTTGTGAGATTTCTTATAAACACTTGTAAAAAAAATTTCCTCTTAGTGAAAGATCTGCAACAGCCTGTGAACGTAGGCAATTTTGTGTCGAACCATGTTAAATTTGTGTATTATTATTCCGTATTTATTTCGCTTTCTCGTAAATCTGGTTATAGGAGAATTTACGTAATTTCTCAACAACTGGCATCAGAGCTCTGGTTGTGATGTCTGTCAATTTTTTGCGACATTACTATTCATGTAAATAGTGAATTTTGTGAATAGTAAAATTTTATCGGCGATACTGGTTCGTCGACAACAGTGTTCTAATACACGGTAATTTGTAGAAACAGTCAGAAACGATCCAGAGGGTACCAGATTCTAGTGGGAGTAATGGCTGCAAACAAGAGAAATGTGAAAATTAAAAAGTTTGATAGTGCGGACTTCAGCTTTTGGAAGATGCAGATTGAAGATTATCTATACCAGAAGAAATTGTATCAACCTCTCTCAAAAAGTAAACCAGATGACATGAAGGATGAAGAGTGGGCTCTTCTCGACAGCAAGCCCTTAGAGTTATCCGATTGATGTTATCCCGCAACGTTGTTTTCAACATAGCAAAGAAAAATACCACGACGGGTCTTATGACGACTCTCTGCAGCATGTATGAGAAGCCCTCTGTCTCAAACAAAATTCACTTGATGAGGCAGCTGATCAATTTGCGGATGACAGAAGGCGCATCGGTAGCTCAACATCTCAATGAACTCAATACAGTCACAACCCAGTTGAGTTCAGTTGGAATTGAGTTTGATGAAAAAGTACGAGCATTGATACTTTTGTTTTCTCTACCAAAAAAGTTGGAATGCTACTATCATAGCTGTGAGTAGCTCGTCGAGAAGAAATAAGTTAAAATTTGATGATGTTTGTGATCTGGTTCTCAGTGAAGAAATTCGGCGGAAGGAATCAGATGAAACATCAACCTCCTCAGCCTTACACACTGAGTCTAGGGGGAGAACTTCAAAAGAAAGTTTAAATCGTGGCAGATCAAAATCTAGATGGAGAAAATCTAGATTGGAAAAGAAAGATTTCAACTGCTATAATTGTGACAAGAATGATCATTTCAAGAGGAAGTGTCGGACACCGAAAAAAAATACCGACGCACAGGAGTCTGATAACGTGACTGAAGAATGAGATGATGTTATGATTCTAAGCGTCAACAGTCCGATTGAATCATGAATTCTTGATTCAGGGGCAACCTTCCATGCCACCTTATGCTAAGAAATCATGGAGAACTACGTCAGTGGTAATTTCGGAAAGGTACATCTAGCAGATGATGAAACCTTGAAGATCGTTGGTAAGAGAGACATCCGATTAAAATTATCAAATCAGACCACATGGAAGCTGCAATGAGACATATTTCTAGCCTTAAAAGGAATTTGATCTTTGTGGGACAGCTTGATGGAGAGGGTTACTGTACAACCTTCTCAAGTCATGAATAGAAGATTACCAAAGAAGCACTCGTCATTGCTCTAGGTAAGAAAACTGGTACTCTCTATGTAACCTCTAACTTAGAGAATGTTATTACAGTAACAAATACAGATGAAAAATTAAACCTATGGCACCAAATGTTTGACCATATGAGCGAGAAAGGGATGAAGACACTTCTGTCAAAAGGGAAGCTACCGGATCTGAAGAATATAGATGTCGGCCTATGCGAGAATTGCATCTTTGATAAACAGAAGAAAGCTAGTTTTGCAAAGATTGGCAAGACATCCAAAGAAGAAAAGTTAGAGTTGGTTCATACCGACGTATGGGGGCCATCTTCAGTTCCATCTCTTGCAGGCTCACTGTACTATGTCACATTTATTGATGATTCTACAAGGAATGTGTGGATCTATTTTCTGAAGAAGAAATCAAAAATCTTTGATACCTTCAGAAAATGGAAGGCCATGGTGGAAAATAAAACTTGTTTGAAGATAAAGCGGTTGAGGTCAGATAATGGAGGAGAATACAAAGACAATAGATTCAAAGAATTTTGCGCAAACAACGGGATCAAGTTAGAGAAAACAGTTCCCGTGACACCACAGCAAAATGGCGTAGCAGAACGCATGAACAGAACTTTGAATGAACGTGCCAGAAACATGAGTATACATGCTGACTTGCCCAATTTTCTATGGGCTAAAGCTATCAATATCGCAGCCTACTTAATCAACCGTGGGCCATCAGTTCCCTTAGACGATGGAATACCATAAGAAGCTTGAAGCAGAAAAGAGGTAAACCTTTCGTATTTAAGAGTTTTTTGTCGTGTCTCTTATGTACACATAGATTCTTCTGAAAGAAGTAAACTTGATGACAAATCTAACAAATATGTTTTTGTTGGTTATGGTGGTGATGAGTTTGATTACCGGTTTTGGGATTATGAAAATCGAAAGATCATTAGAAGCAGAGATGTCATATTCAATGAGAATGTGATGTACAAAGACAGATCAACTGCAAAATTAAGTAACTCCAGTACAAAAGCTGAAATAAAAGAATTTGCTGAAGTTGAGGTGATTTCTGAAAATGATGTTCAGACTAGTCCTAAAGAAGTTCAAGAAAAACCAAGCACGTCAGAAGTAAGACGCTCCTCCAGAATTTCTAAGTCAATCCAGCGTTATTCGTCTTATTTGCACTACTTGTTGCTGACTAACAGTGGTGAACCGGAGTGTTATAATAAAGCAATGCAGGTGGAGGATTTAGTCAAGTGGGAGTCTGTTATGCAAGATGAGATGAACTCGCTTATGTCAAATCAAACGTGGGACTTAGCTGAATTACCACCAGGTAAGAAAGCTCTTCATAACAAATGGATTTACAGGATCAAAGAAGAGCATGATGGGAACAAGCGCTACAATACAAGATTGGTTATCAAAGGCTTTCAGCAAAAGGAATGTATTGGCTATAATAAAATTTTCTCTCCGGTCGCAAAACTGACTACAGTCAAACTAGTGTTAAAAATTATAGTTGTTGTGAATTTACATCTTGAGCAGTTAGATATAAAAACAGTTTTCTTTCATGGTGATTTGGATGAGGAGATCTATATAAAGCAACCATAAGGCTTCATAAAGGCAGGCAAGAAAAATCTAGTATGTCATTTGAAGAAGAGCTTGTATGGATTAAAACAAGCTCCCAAGTAGTGGTACAAGAAGTTTGACAGCTTTATGAGCAGCAACGATTTTACTAGATGCTAAGCAGATCATTGTTGCTATCTCAAGAGGTTTGACAATAACTTTATTATTTTATTGTTATACGTTGATGACATGCTCGTTGCAGGGTCAGATCTGTAAGAGATTATAAATTTGAAGTAAAAATTATCAAAGTATTTCGTAATGAAAGATCTTAGCGCTGCAAAGCAGATTCTTAAAATAAGGATCAAGAGAGACACGAAGTCTGAGACATTGATATTATCACAGGCTAAGTACATCAACAAAGTATTCTCCAGGTTCAATATGCAATATGCTAAACCAGTGAGTACACCTTTAGGTGTTCATTTCAGGCTTTCTAAAGAGTAGTCACCAAAGACAGAGGAAGATCGTGCACACATGGCAAAGGTTCTGTACGCCTCACCAATTGGAATTCTAATGTATGTTATGGTTTGTACAAGATCAGATATTGCTTAAGAAGTGGGAGCTGTTAGCAGGTACATAAATAATTCGGACAAGGTATATTGAGAAGTAGTCAAATGAATCCTCAGATATCTACGGAGCACCACAGGTAAAACACTTTGTTTCAAAAGTGGAGATACAATACTAACAGGTTATGTGGATGCTGATTTAGCTGGAAATGTTGATATCAAAATGAGTACTACATGGTATGTCTATACTCTAAGAGGTACTACAGTAAGTTGAGTTTCTCAACTGCAAAAGATAGTTACTCTCTCCACAACTGAAGCAGAATATGTCGCTGTTACAAAGCCAGCAAGGAAATGGTTTGGTTTCAAAATTTCTTAGATGAATTAGGCAAGAAACAAGAAGATAATGTCTTATATTGTGACAGTCAAAGTGTTATTCATCTAGCGAAGAATCCGTCTTTTCATTCCAGAATGAAGCACATACAGGTGCAGTATCATTTTATCCGGTTACTTTTGAAAGATAAAATTTTAAAACTTAAAAAGATCAGTGGAGCTCAAAATCCGGTAGACATGCTGACAAAGACGGTGACTACTAACAAACTGAAATTGTGTTCAGCTTCAGTTAGCCTGCAATAGTATCAAGACCGAGGAAGAGCTGTTGCATATATCAAGATGTGAAGACAGATTAAAATCAGCCTTCAAGTAAGAGATTGTTAGTCAAAAAGAGAGTGCTCAACTTTCACGCACTAAAAGCATTCGGTGTAATGAAAAGTCCATCTTTCTTGTCACCGAATGCTTTCGGTGCAATGAATGACAAAAAGAAGAAAAAGTTTGTTGAAAAGAATGAAAGCTTTGTTGAAAAAGCTTGTCAAACCCAACAACCCAAAAATTGAGTGAGGCATCTATGTAAAGTACTCTTGTGTGTGCTTTTGAAGGAATCAGAAGTGAGAGAGGAAGTGTGAAGTGTGAAGCGTGAGTGAAAAGAAAGGCTCAGAGAAAGGCCTTAGTGAGAGAAAATTGAGAGCAATTTTCAGAGTGATTTTGGGTTGTGAGATTCCTTGTAAACACTTGTAAAATTTTCTCCCATTAGTGAAAAATATGCATCAGCACGTAGACGTAGGTAACTTTGTGCCGAACTACGTTAAATTTGCGTGTCTTATTATTCCGTATTTATTTTGTTTTCTCGTAAATCTGGTTATAAGGAAATTTGCGTAATTTCCCAACACAAATTAGTTTTTTTAGCAACGTAAATGTGTGAAGATGTATAATATGTGTTGTTTGATCAATTCTTCATGTAACCCACAGGTCCACTCTCACTTTTTTAAATTTTGGGAAAGTATAGCTCTTTATAATAAAGTGTAATACCTTATGATGAAAGTATAGCTCTTTACACTAAACGATAGCACTTTATGGTCATAGTATAGCTCTTTATGGATAAAGTATAGTTCTTTATGATTTTTGAAAATGTTGATACTTAGGGGTTGTTTGGTTCAATTTCTACAAATTATAGAAAATATTTTCTACCCAAAATATGGTTTCCTTGTATTTCTTAAAAAAAATTATAGGAAAATGTTTGAGAAGTCAAAAAGTACTAATTTTTTATTTTTTAATACTTTGCTTGTTTGGTTCAAAACAAAAAAATTGGCTCATAACTTTATAGAAATAACAACTTTTTCTTTTCTTTTGTTTGGTTGGATGTCACTTTATAAAAAATAGCTCACTTTATAGAAAATAGCTTACTTTACAGAAATCGCATGGAAGGGTATTGATGTACTTAATTATTTTTTAATATATGCGTCAGATTTCTGGGTGATTTCCGCCCACTTTGAGTGAAAATTGATTTCTATAAAATAGGATATTTTTTGTACTTTACAGAAAATATTTCTGTAAATTTTTGAACCAAACACAGTTTACGAAAATCTACAGAAAATTTTTACTTATAGAAATGTCATTAGCAGTCCTTTTAAGAAAACTTTTCTATAAAATTGTGGAAAAAATCAAATCAGTTTTTTCTGAGCAATGTAAATGTGTGAGGATGTATAATGTGTTGTTTGATCAATTCTTCATGTAACCCATAGGTCTATTCTCACTTTTTCAAATTTTGGAAAAGTATAGCTCTTTATAATAAAGTGTAGCACCTTAAGATAAAAATATAGCTTTTTATGCTAAAGGATAGCTCTTTATGGTTATATTATAGCTTTTTATGGTCTCTGAAAATTCTGATACTTAGTGGAATAAATCAAATCAGTTTTTTCTGAGTAAGGTAAAGGTGTGAAGATGTATAAGATTTGTTGTTTGATCAATTGTTCATGTAACCCACAAGTCCACTCTCACTTTTTTAATTTTTGGGAAAGTATAGCTCTTTATAATAAAGTGTAGCATCTTATGATGAAAGTATAGCTCTTTACGTTAATGTATAGCTCTTTGTGGTCATATTATAGCTCTTTATGGTCATAGTATAGCTCTTTACGCTAATGTATAGCTCTTTGTGGTCATAGTATAGCTCTTTATGAATAAAGTATAGCTTTTTATGATCTCTGAAAATTCTGATACATAGTGAAACAAATCAGTTAGGTTTAAAATAAGTGGGTGGAGATCTATAAAGAGCTATAATTTAATCATAAAGAGCTATATTGTGGCTATAAAGAGCTTTACGTTAGCGTGAAGAGCTATACTTTCATCATAAGGTGCTACACTTTATTATAAAGAGCTATACTCTCTAATTTGGAAAAGTGTGAGTGGACCTGTGGGTTACATGAACTGATGATGAACAATTAATCAAACAATACATATTATACATCTTCACACTTTTACATTGCTCAGAAAAAACTGATTTAATGTATTCCACTAAGCATTAGAATTTTCAGAGACCATAAAGAACTATACTTTATCCATAAAGAGCTATACTATGGCCATAAAAAGCTATACTTTAGTATAAAGAGTTATACTTTCATCATAATGTGCTACACTTTATTACAAAGAACTATACTTTTCTAAAATTTCAAAAAGTGAGAGTAGACATGTGGGTTACATGAAGAATTGATCAAACAACATATTATACATCTTCACACATTTACATTGCTCAGAAAAAACTAATTTGAAGATGTATAAATAAAATACAATCATCGTACATTAGGTGTAAGTTTTGAACATGTCAGTAAGCAAGTATTTGCATTGATGAAACCACCAACATATGTACATGATAACCCGTACATACCTTGGTGTGAAAAGCTCTAAAAATGGCAATAGCATCAACCATTTGTTCAATAAATTAAAAATAAAACTCTAACTAGAATGGAAGTAGATGGATTTAAAAATAAGTCAAAGTAAAACTTTGGGTTAATAAACAAAAACCCCATGAAATTATATTGGGCATGACAGTATTCACTTCCCTAAAAAAAATAAATACAATAAGACCATTATACCCTTTTATAGTTATGTTGAACCATCATAGGGGCTGAATAGAATGGAAGTACGAACTTTAGGAGCTAAATAGAATGAAAGTACAAACTTTAGGGGCTTAATAGACTGAAACAAGAGTTTCAGGGCTTCATAGAGAAGCTGGACAAAGTTTAAGGGCTTAATAGATTAAGAGGGCTTTATAGAAAAATTGGTTAGGCTTATCAGACTCTGAGCTCCGTGCTGGACAAATGACTAGCTCACGAAGGGTTAAGAAATTGGAAAGTAAACTAATAACGGAAATAATTTGGAGTAAATCGAAATTTCAACAATTAAGGAAATAATGTAAATATTTCTATAAAAAACCAAAAAAAAAAAAACAAAGGAAACACACATCAGCAATCAATGCAGACAAAATTCCACAACAAACCCTAAAGATCGCATCACCACATTCAAAATCAACTAGTTCCATTATACAAATAAAAAATTGCATTCAACTACAATAACAAAAAAGGAAATTTTTTTTTTTAATTGAGATTCTTACTGTTCTCTTTCATCAAAGGCGGATCTTGAACATGGTCGGGTTTGGATAGAGGATCCGCAACCCGATGCCGGAGAGGAGAGAGCTTTGGGCATTGGATTGGCGGATCTTGAGGAGAAGGAAAGGACCCGTTAGATGCGATGAGAGAGAAACGGAGGGGGTAAAGAGGAAGAAAGATTACTTTATCGGATAATTTTGCACTTTGATACTGTAACGTTGTCATATTTTTCTAATTTTGATGCCACAAGTTTTATTTTTGATCGTTTAAAATGGAACAGACTTCTGTTTTAAGTCGGATAATTTGCACTTTGCTGTCATATTTTTTTTTTAATTTCGATGCCACAAATTTTATTTTTGATTGTTTAAGATGCAACAAACTTTCGTTTTAAGTTGGATAATTTGCACTTTGATCTCATAAGTTTAATGCCACAAAGAAAGGTTTGGGACATTAAATAATCAAAGTGTTAAAAATTGCATATTAGTCCCTTACGTCATCCTAAGTTGTCAAATAATCCCTTGAACCTTGGTGTTTGTTTATTAGTCCCTCAAATCTTTAATTTTCTTACAAATCTGTCCCACTGTTAGCAATTCTATTAATTTATCTAACTCTAGTTAGATTAAGCTTTAATCCAACAGCTTTACCCTAGTGTCCTTAAGTTTTCCACATAGGGTGTTCTCTAACACTAGTTGAGAATATAACCACTGAATAAAAGCTATGGGTTGGATTTGAAAAAGTTGGTGGGTTGGGGTTTTAGTTGGAGCAGGTTGCGTGTATAAACCCGTTATGAAATGAGTTTGTAATGTTTTAAGTGATAAGAGTATAATAGGAAAACCATCTAGTTCATTTAAAGTTAACCGATGTTCACTCTCATAAATAACGTCACCTAACAAGAGTATTGAATTTACGAAAAATTTGCAGATTTGAAGGACTAATAAGCAAATATTGAGATTTGAGATATTATTTATCAATTAAGTATAATTTAAGGGACTAATATGCAATTACCTTATTTAGAAAACATGACAACTTAATGGCACCAAAAGTGCAAAATATGCTGATTCGTATGACTTGATGGGTGTTAGTTGTTATTGTATGCCTCATGTTTGTTTGAAAATTATCCTTAAAATGTTTTTTTGTTTCGGGATTGTTTGAATCTGGAATTTGTATTCTGAATTAGTCACATTATATCATAAGTGTGGAAAGAGATTCGAATAGTTCATGTCATGTAGAAATTTTACATTTTTTCTAATTTTAATGTTTTTTGGGTATTTTTAATATGGTGAAACCCAAATTTTCATAATTCATAATTCTTTAAATCTTAAGTTTCGGTGAGATTTCCAAAGGGGAATACAGCGACAAACAGAGACAAGTGTGTATGTTCTTTTCTGACGGGATTCTTAATTCTCAAAGCCGCTAACCAAACGGAGAATAACATTAACATCTAAGCTCAAACTGAACAAACCGAACCAAATGAACCGAACCATTTACTCACACCACCTACTCCAGTAAAAAGTAGAGTCGGTACAATACACATTATATTATACTCAAAATGAAAGGGGAAAAAGGGCCAACAGACCTCACACGGAATCAATACAAATACTAAAAGTTTTTAAGTGTAAACAATGAAAACTTTAGTGTAACAAAAATATCGAGTCAGTACAAACAGATTTCGACATATACAATGCTATATCTCGAATGAACCGATCTCTCTTACATCTCCTCTACTTGTGTAGATCATGAAAGCTATACATTATACATCGGCACATATTGCTCTCCTCTTCGGTTAAGAAACATGCATATGTGAAGGGGGAACCTTTTCAAGACTCTTGAGATTGTTGTTCAGTATCAGTTGCTTCTTCTGTTTCTTCACCAGATTCATCACTCGTCCTTTGGCTTATTTTCAAACGAAGAGGCCTGCCCATCAATTCCTATGCAAAAAAAGAAAGTCGAAAAGTGTTTAATAAAACAAGTTAAAATTTAGTGAAGTCCATTATAAATCAAGATCATCAAGAGACAACCATATTTCTGGACTCCAAAAACAAACCTGTTGTCTGATAAAACAAAAATCTGCAAAAAGCCACCACATGAAACATGGAAAGCGATCACAAACACCAGAACATAACCATTACAATAAATGTAGGAACTGGCAGAAGTTTACACCTATACTAATGGTTGACTAGTTTATTCAAGTGGCTGGTCGATATGAAAAATCTGAAAAGTAATCATTTATATGATACCTTCAACCTTGAGATAGATATGAAATTTGATAAAACTATGAATCAAATTATATTTCTCAAGAAACCAACATATAAATCCAAGGGTTCACTGCAGAAAGACTCCTTGTATTATTGCGTTGTGCCACCTATTACCCCCTTACACTTGATATTGACAAAATAGACCCCCAGGAACTCGACTAAACATCGTCGTCACCCTCAAATCTCTACTTTATTGACATTCAGTTTTAGGTCTATCCGCCAATATCAAATTTAAGCGGTAATAAGCGGCAAAGTGCAATAATGGGGTCTATGTGCAGTTAACTCTAAATACAGTAATAACTTTTTTTGGCACTAATCTGATAGTCTTTCCTACTATCTTCCAGTGGCCATCTTGCTACGGGATATCTGTGAAACCGTGAGATTAGTGGGGCCAAGCCCACGTGAATTGAGCGGAGATGAAAACGTGTGATGATAGGGACGTGAAGTGCAAGGTTTCATGTGGGGACCACAAAATGCACGTGAAAGCAATTCCGTGAAGATTTCGGTTTTGTCCAGCGGACAAAGTGAAAGCCCACCCGAAAATTCAATTCATGCTTATAAATACACGGTCTTCCTAGGGTTTCGATGGGCGTGCGAGAAGAAATTGTGTTTCGGCTGCTGAGTTCTCTTTTGGCTTCCGCAAGAGAAAAACAGCAGACGCAAAGCAGAGGGGAGCGGGAGCAAGTACCAGGGGAGGAGAAATTTTGTGCGGCTGTGCAAGGAAGGATTCTCTCTTTGGCTGGCGGCTACGAAGATCAAAGTGCAAGCAAGAGACTGATTTGTGCGACTGCAGAGAGCAGGTACGAAGGCAGAGAGCTTGGCTTGGAGGCGTGTGCAAGCAGCAAAGGTGCAGAAACAGAGGGTTCTCAAGCGGCTTTTGAGAGAGATTAAAGAGTTAGTTTGAGGGTTTATTTTGTGAGATTGTAAACCTATTTGTATTCTTTTCCTCTCTAATAGTAGATCTCCCCCTCCTTGCCCCGTGGACGTAGGCAGTTTGCCGAACCACGTAAAATTAGTTGTTTGAGTTTGTGGCCATTGTAATAGCTTTTAGGATCCCTCGACAGGTCAGTCCTAGAACTGATGAGAGGAAGAGCCGATATCTCACTTGGTTGAGATATCCGCTTCAGATTCTTGTTTCCTTGGTGAGACTGGAATTCATATCGATCTTTCTCTCTTATTGTGCACCAGAAACTCTGCCGAAATTTCCGCTGCGCTCAACAAGTGGTATCAGAGCCCAGATTTCAGATCTAGGGTTTGGTTGGAGGAGTAGATCAATTTGGAGGTCCGTTTAGGACTTCGTTGGTGATAAAAGTGGAATCTTTTTGGTAAAGACTCTATCTTTTTAATTTTGGATCTATTTTTCGTTCGTTGGTGCGTAAGATGTCGGGGAAAGAAGGTGCTTCGGGTGTCGAGGGTGGTGCTTCTGGCGCGAAGACCATTCAGAGTTTGAATATCCACTCTATGAAGATAGATGTGGAGAAATTTAATGGCACAAACAATTTTGGATTATGGAGATGCGAGGTTTTGGATGCGCTGAACGCGCAGAATTTGGAGGATACCTTGGAGTTAGATGGCAAGCCAGATGAGATTGAAGAGAAGGTTTGGAAAAAGATGAATCGAACGGCGTGTGGTGTGATTAGGTCTTGTTTGACTCAAGATCTAAAATATGATGTGATGAATGAGACTTCTGCGAAGAAGATTTGGGAGATTCTCGAAAGCAAGTATTTGACCAAGAGTGTGGAAAATCGCTTGTATTTGAAGAGGAGGCTTTATCGTTTCCAGTTGAAGAAGGGAACCTCCATTAGAGATCACATGAACCACTACACAAAGCTTCTTGCGGATTTGGCGAATGTGGATGTCAAGATTGAAGATGAGGACAAGGCGTTGCTGTTGTTGAGTTCCTTGCCCGACGAGGAATATGAGACCTTCGTTCTTACTCTGATTAATGGGAAGGCATCCATTTCGTATAGTGAGGTCACTGCTGCATTGGTGAATTATCAGCTTCGAAAGAAGGATAAGGAGAATTCGACTGAGTCGGTAGCAGAGGCGTTGGTTGCAAGAGGGAAGAGTCCAAACCGAAAGGGATAAGGAGAATTCGACTGAGTCGGTAGCAGAGGCGTTGGTCGCAAGAGGGAAGAATCTAAACCGGAAGAATTGGAAGTCACAGTCTAGAGTAGGGCATCCTACAATTGGAAAAGATCAGTGTGCTTGGTGCAAGGAGACTGGTCATTGGAAGAAAGACTGCCCAAAGCTCGACGAATGGATGAAGAATAAGCAGAAGGGGAAAGGGAAGCAGCCATCATCAGAAGCAAATATCGTATCGGATGGTAATAATTCTGACTCTTCTATTTATTCGCTTTCTATCAGTCCTACAGATAGCTATTCGGAGGAATCTGAATGGATGTTGGATAGTGGTGCGACCTATCATGTGTGCCCTAGAAGGGAATGGTTCTCCAGTTTTGAGAAGCTGGTGGATAGTGGTGTGGTGTACATGGCTGATAACCGTGCATGCCAGATCCTTGGGATAGGAAGAATTCGCATAAAGATGTTTGACGGGACTGTTAGAGAGTTAAACGATGTGAGATATGTTCCTTCTTTGAGGAAGAACTTGATCTCGATTGGAGCTTTGGTTGGAGAGGGTCTGAAGGTTCGTGTTGAGGACATGGTTCTCGAGATTGCGAGAGACTCTCGTATTTTGATGAAGGGCGTCAGGAGAAATAACCTGTATTACTTGACTGGAGGTATAGTGGCAGACAGGTGGAGAGCTGGCGACTTCTGTTGATTCGACTAGACTGCGGCATTTGGGGCTTGGCCATTCCAGTATTGATTCCTCGCATAGATTGGAAGAGGGTGCGAAGACCTGCAGTTTGAAGTCCAGTGAACATGTTGATGTGAGCAAGAAGACCGAGGTGAAGTGTGGCACCTCTATTCACCGTGCTAAGGGTCGTTCTGGAGGAGTTCACGTGGATGTTTGGGGGCCTTCCAAGGGGGCATCATTGGGAGGTAATAGGCGTTTGGTTTCCTTTGTTGGTGGCTGTTCTAGGCGTGTTTGGGTTGCAACCAAATCCCCATTGGAGAAAGTCCTAGTAGTCTCTAACAGATTGAAGAAGTGTGTAATAGACAGAAGGTGAAGGTACTCCATTCTGGTGGGAGGTACAAGATGGACCTGTTTCTGTGTTGGAGCCGAGCTCACGGCATTTCGAGACACTTCGTTGGAAAGGAAATCTTAGGGCAACTAGATAGGGTGATAAATTTGGAAGACCGTGCCTTGCTGGAGGAGGATCGGTGTTTGTGGTCGAGCAATGGTTTGCAGAAGAGTTTCTGGACAGAGGCTTCGACATATTTGGGTCATCCTATTAAAGAGTTGTCAACTGCTGTGATTGGAGGTATTCGGTTGAGGCTTCGATGAGGAAGTCAATTGACTCTCAGCAGGTGGAGAGTTTTGGACAGACCTTAGAGGTATCGCAGCGGGTGGAGAGTGATGCTACTCCACATTGGGTAAAGATTACTACAGATCATTCTGCATTGGTTGGGATTCCAGCTGAGGTGACACAGCGTGGAAGTCATTTGGATTCGGATGTAGATGATGAGTTGGGTTTTGATTTGAGTGCAGCTGATAGATACAGTTTGGATATGACCATTGGTTCACCTCAGGTGGAGGTGTTTGAGGCCATTGGAGGTGCTATCAGCCGCAGAGTTGATGATATTGGAGAAGGGTTACGAACTCTTCTATTGGATTGAGGTCGTTCGCGGCCATTTGGGTGAACTACGTTCGGCTTGATTCCTTGGGCGGTATTTCTCCGTTGACGGGGAAAAATGGAGAGATAAGATTGAACTGCAGGGTGGTGAACTAAGATATGTGAACACGTGTGAAAGGATAATGGCCAGCAGGACACGTGGGGGCTACAAAGTTGAGCAAACAACAGCTACATGAAGAATTCATGTGAAGTGCGTGAAAGGAAGAGTTGCGTGGGGACCACAAAGCGCGTGAGTAGAGAGGAAACCGCGTGGGAGGGTGCCGAATCCATTGGACAAAAGAAGAGGCTCGGATTTTGCATCACTTTACCCGCTAGGCTATAAATAGGAACGCCTAGGGTTTTGTGCGTTGGGAGCAAGTACCAGGGGAGGAGAAATTTTGTGCGGCTGTGCAAGGAAGGATTCTCTCTTTGGCTGGCGGCTACGAAGATCAAAGTGCAAGCAAGAGACTGATTTGTGCGACTGCAGAGAGCAGGTACGAAGGCAGAGAGCTTGGCTTGGAGGCGTGTGCAAGCAGCAAAGGTGCAGAAACAGAGGGTTCTCAAGCGGCTTTTGAGAGAGATTAAAGAGTTAGTTTGAGGGTTTATTTTGTGAGATTGTAAACCTATTTGTATTCTTTTCCTCTCTAATAGTAGATCTCCCCCTCCTTGCCCCGTGGACGTAGGCAGTTTGCCGAACCACGTAAAATTAGTTGTTTGAGTTTGTGGCCATTGTAATAGCTTTTAGGATCCCTCGACAGGTCAGTCCTAGAACTGATGAGAGGAAGAGCCGATATCTCACTTGGTTGAGATATCCGCTTCAGATTCTTGTTTCCTTGGTGAGACTGGAATTCATATCGATCTTTCTCTCTTATTGTGCACCAGAAACTCTGCCGAAATTTCCGCTGCGCTCAACAATATCACCTAACATGCTACAAAGAGATGAAGCATGCACATCAGAATCAAGATAAACATTTAACAATTTTGGCAAATATAAAAACATAAACATAGATTTAGTTGAGTAATAAAACAAGGAATAAAAAAGGCTGAACAAAGAAGGGAAACTTGATGTCACCTTTCCATCCAATTCAGAAACAGCAGCCTCAGCTTCATCCATTGTGGCAAAGCCAACAAATCCATATCCAGAAGATCTCCCGGTTGGGCTGTCAAAAACTACCCTAGCAGATACCGGCTTAAACTTTTCAGAGAAGAAATCTCTGAGGTTTGTTGCTCTCACTTTCCAAGCAAGATTTGATGCATATATCTTGTATCGTCCTTCTGATTTAGGGGCACCTGGTGGCGAAGGAGGAGAGGGTTTCTTGAAGCTCTTTGCAAATTCGACCCTGATGATCCTTTCAGAAATTTCCTACAGAGAAAATGTAGAGCTTGTTGATAAAAATAGAAGTTTGAAAAGCTAACAAACAATGCATATGGTAATTTGCTTTGAAAATCTTATCCTCATACAATTTCATATCAATATTCTAGCAACAAATTGACATCATAATTCTTCTATAATTCAATCATCTTCGACTTGAGAGGCGTATAATAGAGAGAATACCATACAGAATAATGTGTTCATATTTGATCTGTATTTTTCCTAGTACTAGTTGAGATTGCACGTGCAATACACGTGGTTAAATATCATGAATATTTAAATTGATAAAAATAGAGTAAAAATAAAAAAGAAAATAAAGTTTTTTTATGGGATTGATCATCAACTCAATAATTTCTCTCTCAAATGAAATATTGTCATTGTTTCATTCAACCAAGACCGTGGCCACATGATCTATTATTTGTGAGTTATAAACATATTAATCTAGTATAATATCTCTATTTAGTATCTTGAAGTCTTCAAAAGATGGGTGATCATTCAATTCACAAAGAAATTTTGCATATGAATTTACTTGCAATATGTCCATTTAATTTTTAGTTGTGGTTTGACTCATATTCATGTTAACTTTTAGTTGTGGTTTCACTCATATTTATATTATCTAATATTCTCATTCAATTTTATATCTCATTCATTGTATCATAGAAGTAAAACTAAAAGTATAAAGAATTATTTGTTGGGTATCTACTCAAACTCCAAGTTAGAATAGAGTTTTTAATTCTTTGTATAACTTCATGAGAATTAGATAAGGTTAGACATCTATCATGATTAGGAGTTTGGATTTTATCATGATTGAGAGTTTGAATCTTATTCTAATTAGAAAGTTAGGCTAGAGATATGGTTTTGGTTTCTCTATATATATCCTTCTATTGTTAGAGGAAAAAGAAGAAGGAGAAGAAGAAGTGTAGAGAGAAAGAGTGAGAGAGGGTTTGGCAGTCTTTGTCCGTACAAAAGATTGTAATTTGAAGGTGATAGTGGATTGATTTTGATCCCGTGGTATTTCCATGTTGAGGGTTTTTCACGTTAAATCTTATGTGATTTTATTTGCTACGTTTAGTGGTTTTTTTAGGGTTTTTGCGAGATCTAAAAATCCCTACAAGTGGTATCAGAGCGGGGTTCAATAGTTCGTGGAGATTCAAGATTTACAACGACATTGGTGGCAACGGAACTGCAGCAATAGCACTGTTCACCGCAGGTACTGTAGCAATAGAATTGTTCATGGCGACGCACTGTTCACGGTATTATAACTGTGGGTACTGTAGCGGTGACAGATCCGACGGTTGAGGGACTGATTTGAATTATGATCGTGGTTAGAAGATGATGACTTCTTCGGGTCCGAAGTTTGATATTCCGCTATTCAATGACAAGATAAATTTTGCAGTATGGCAGTGCATGGTTCAAGATATTCTTGTGCAGCAGGGTGTTGATCAAGCTTTGGAAGAGAAAAAACCTGAAGGATTGAAGGATGCTAAATGGAGTTCCATACAAAAGAGGACGGTTAGCACAATTAGTTTGGCACTCGCTCCCGAGATCAAGTACAATGTTATGCAAGAGACCACACCAAGGGGGCTGTGGGAAAGGCTCGAGGGGATTTATGCGTCGAAATCGATGACCAACCGATTGTGTTTGAGGATGGAGCTTTATTCGTTGAAGATGGAAGAAGGTATTACAATTCAAGACCACATCAATGTCTTTAATCAGCTAGTTTGCCAACTTATGAATATTAATGAGGAGATTCAAGAAGAAGAGCATGTGTTACTCCTATTGTCTTCCTTACCGAAGTCGTACAAGCCGTTAGTTCAGACGATAATTACAGGGAAGCAGAATTTGAAGTTCGACAATGTGACAGTACTCCTACGTGAGAATGAAAGAATAATGAGAAAAGAGAGCGCATCTAATGGTGGTGAGAGTGCACTAGCTTTTGAAGGTTCTAATCGAGGGAGGAGTACGGGGAGATGTGACAGTTATCGAGGAAGGTCAAAATCTCGGACCCGAGACGACAGCGAAAATGATTGCTATTATTGCGGAGAGAATGGTCACATTCAGTTCAGATGTTCCCAGATGTGTGATGATTTGAAGAATATTAGACAAATGAAGCTTCAAAAAAATGGGAAGAAGACGGACTCCTCAGTGGTTGTGTGTGATGAAGATGTGGTTTTATTAATGCAGAGTACAAGTACTGATGCGAGTAACACTTGGGTGTTAGATTCTGCAGCCTCTATGCACGTTTGTAACAACAAAAAATATTTTAACACGTTGAAGACAGATTGTAATACCCCAACCCTTGAGAGGGTGATGTGATTAGTATTGATAGATTTGATTGGAATACTCATACCACCAAGATGCATCTTCTTTTCGGGAACCCAACTCTTAGAAACTCCAAAGTTAAGCGTGCTTGACCTGGAGAAATTCTAGGATGGGTGACCCCCTGGGAAGTTTTCCAGGGAGCGTGTGAGTGAGGACAAAACGTGCTGAAAAGACATGTGGTGGTTTGTGAGGCCAGTCCATCAGATCTAGTAGCGTACCGACTCCGGGATTCTGGGGCGGGGCGTTACAAATGGTATCAGAGCCAAGCCAACCGAAATTGTGAGAGCTAAGTGCTATGCGGCGCAAAGTGCTACGTCGAGAGGGCGGGAGCCACCTCTTGAGGCCGTAGGAGCCACCTCTAGAATCTCACACGGATGGTACGGTCTTGGATGATATGATTTGGCGCAACAAGGACGTTGCGAGTTTAAGTGGGGGAGATTGTAATACCCCAACTGATGCGAAACAATGTGATGCAGGTATGAAGATTAACGACAACAATGTTTCGCCAAATCAGTGATCGATCTAGGCAGGAAGCTCAAGAATAAAGTGTAGCTTTCGATGGTTTTTAAGCAAAAGTTGCAATGTACTAAGTTCGAATCTTTTGTAAATGATCCAGAAAATAAATGTAATGATTCGTTCTCTCAATATAGTTCAAATTGTAATATTTAGATAAGTAGAAATACTTAGCAACAGATTCGCTCGCTCACTTAATCAAGTTGAATACAGCACAAATACGATTGATAATAATATTGATAGCAACATGCAAGCAATAGCAGTTCCAAAAATATTTGGGCGAAAGAAAATTAGACCTTCGTCGGACTGAACTGGATCAACGGGAGGATCTTCTGGAGGTGGCTCAACGACGCCAAATATGAGCGGTGGAAGCTCTCCACCGAGGGCGGCGTAATTAGGATGGAGCGGTGTATCTGGATGGAAACGCCGATGCCACGAACTGATTCCCAAGCTACTCTCTATGCTGTCAACGATCTGATGAGTCACACGCTCAACGTACTCGGGCACGCTCTCGAATGACTGATAATCAAACCACGGGGAAAGCTGTAAATTTACGATGCCGGTCTTTGGATCTAGCACGATTCCGTCATCAGCATCAGGATCAGCCATACACCAACGATCAACAGAATCGGGCTATCACGATGTCTCAGCAGATCTGATAATCAAACGAGCCCAACTGAAACAGATCTGAACCAACTTGGTCCGGTTCGGATCTGAACCACAATAAATCAACAAATAAGTAGGAGGTGGTTCTGAATAAATCAAGTCAGGCCCAGAGCTTTCCCTTCGTTCGTTACAACGGAGAGAAGAAGGACGCGGATCGATGATTGAGCCAAACGGGCGACGGTGCGGGTGAAGTCGGCAGCGGCCTGAGCGGTGGCGACTGGTGGGGGAGGACGAATGACAGGGGGGGAAGGCGGTGACTGTGGAGTGGCTAAGGGCGGCGGTTTAGGGCTTCAAGCGGTGGTGTCGACGGAAGAGAGGGTGGTCGGGTTGGGCCACGGTTGCAAGGGAGGAGCGGTCACGGCCACAGGAGGCGGAGGCGGAGGTGGGCGGTGCTGGGCGGTTGCTGAAGGTAAGGGATTTGGGTTCAAGGTTGACAGCGGTTTGTGGAGGTGGTGGTGGTTGCCTGAATCGAAGGAGGAGGGCGGAGGTCCGGTGGGCTTCGGGCGGCGAACTGGGAAGAGGGAGGTGGGGTGGGTTCTGATTGTCTGCAGGAAGAAGATGATGAACAGTGCGAATTTTGATTTTCTTTTGTTTTCTTTTGTGAGGAAGAGGAGTTACGGCTGATGACAAAGAAACTAATCACGCTTAGGTTTCACACCATGTTTAAGCAAATTAATTTCATTCATCAATAATCTTCAATCTGATTACAAGAGAGTTTAAATAAAGAAAATACAGATTTGGAAAATCCTCTAAATCCCTCAAATCTCTCTCATAACCAAAATACAACCAATTAACTAATTAGCTACCGAAATTCAAAATTCAAAATTTTGAAATTCAAAAATTCAAATTTCAAACTAATTTATTACAATTGAAATCAAAACCATAGTGCTGCAACCTGGCGTCTCCTTCGCTGATAAACTCGGCGAAAATCCCGTGTATGTGTCCGGATGTCCCCATCATTCTCCCCGGGTGGGAGAGAACTCGACCCTGTCGAGTGTAAATCAGAACGGCTGTCATACTGCTCAAGAAGATCTGGATCCAGCCTCTGCAAGTCATCCCTATCGAGCCAAGTGTCATCTGACTCAGGTCGTCCTTTCCAACGTACCAAATACCTGCGGATACCACCATTGCTAGTAGAAACAATGTTATCATCAATAATAGTATCAATGTCGTGTGCTGTATATGTGGGTGATATCTGGGGAAGTGGAGGTAAAGGGGAGCTCTCAGAAATAGGCTCAGGGGTAGGCTCATCAACCAGTGGGTTGTCAGGGTTAAAATGTGGGCCTTTGTACTCTACTAAATCCTCAATATTAAAAGTCGAACCAATATTAAAACCTTCGGGAAGGTCGAGAACATAAGCATTATCATTAATTTTCTTGAGAATTTTAAAAGGCCCTACACTTCGTGCATGCAACTTTTTAACAGTTCCCAGAGGAAACCGTTCCGGACGTATCCGAACCATCACATAATCACCAACATTAAATTCTTTA